AATACCCAACTTGAGCCTGTTGCTCCTTGTTCTGTCGTCTGCCCCCACTGGAAACAGCCCAGCTCCACTTCTTGCTGTCTGGTGGGATGCCCAACAATTAGTTGAGAAATTTAGATGCAAAGAGCAGTGTAGCAGGGTCATGACTGTGATGGTGATTTGGCATTTGAAGAGGACAAGGAGTTGGTGGATGGGGCTAGGGTCACTTATATAGAGTGGGGCTGTCCACCTTCTAAGCGGCTGGGTGCCACGTGCAGTGCGGGAGGCTGCGATGGGGCTGCACACTCTGGGGGCTGCAGTAGTGCAAAGCCAGCCCCACCCCAGGGCTGTGCCCCTGCACCATGCAATGACTGGAGAAGAATTGAGGGGCTGCATGTTTTCCTGCATGCAGCCTTTTGGCCAGCCAGGCTGTGGAAGACAGCGGCTGTTGTTGGCTCATGGCTTGACCAGAGATGCCATCTAAATATTGCTGGTTTGGCTTTAGGGTCCAGTGTATTTTATTAAGCTTGTTTCTAGCTCCCTCTGCTTCAGTCTTATTCCCAAGTCCTCCCTTGCTTCTAAATTCGCCTTTGGCTAATGAAGCCCCTCAGCCTGGTATTTTTATTGTGCCCCCAAAGCTCTCATGCCTCCAAGCATTCCCGCTGGAGAGAGGTTCCCGCAAGGTCCTTGCTTTCTGAGGAAGCATCAGCTCCAGCCAGTGTCATGTGATGCTGATTTCTCTGGAAGTTGCCTTCAGGCTCTGGAGAAACCTCCTTTCAAAATAAATTGGTAAAAGATTTGGCAGGAGGGAATGTATTTTTTATTTCTCAGACGAGTTGCTGACAAGGCAGGCAAGCAGCATGTGAAAGCAAATCAGTTTGCCAAAAAAACGTGGCAGGTCCCTTGCAGCTGGGAGTAGCCTCTGCTGTGGGAGTTTTCCCCTGGGGATGCAGAGCCTCCTCCTGGGGCGATGCCACACAGTGCAGGTTGTACCCATGGCCTGAACCTCTGCGTCTTCAACCCTGTAATATTGGGAGGTGCTCCACTGAGATGAGTCGACTTCCATCTGTGCAAAAATGGGAGGAAAATCAGGCTGTAAGCGCTTCCCACAGCTAGATAATGGTGGGCCAGGTGAGGTGGGCACAGGCAGCACACCGGAGAGGTGCTTTCCGCTGATTTGGAGAAGTGTGTGCAGGGTGCTGGAAGGGCAAGGCGTGTGTCCTTTCCAGGCCATCTGTTTGAAGCATCTTTGTACAAGAGAGGGCAGAACACGACATCCTGTAAAAGCGTTGGAAGCATTCAACGCCCACAGGCTTTTTCATGCAGCGTCCCAGGAATGAATGAGGTGGTTGTTCAGCAGAGGTGTGCGGAGGTGCCGACCCGCTGGCCTCGTCATCTAAGTGCCAAGAGCCAGAACAGCACATGTAGCTGCCAGGCTCCCTAAATAAATGTAGGCCTTAACTAAAAGGCCCTATTATGTGCTCTTCATGTATATATTAGTCCACTGATTCCACCACGTGAGGAGGCGTGGAAAAGAAATTGGCTCTTTCTCTCTCCCTCTTTCTTTTATGCCCAGACAAACTCCATGGACTTCCTCATGAACTTTGACACATGTAATTCTTCATAAAACAAGGAGAATGGAAAGTAAAAGCAATAATTCAATGAATGTTACTGCCCTTGACTCTGTGCATGTGTGTGCAATGTGCACACACGTGCATGTGTATGATGCACACTCACTGATGTCAGGATCAAGGGAAGTACTGTGTCCCTATTCCCCTCCTCCCCTGCAATTCAGGAAGATACTTTCTCAGCTCATGTTTTCTGGAAGGCAGGGGGTGGAATACATTGGTGAATTGAACCAGGGGAGGTGATTGATTTTTAATGTGGATTTTGTATGGCTGGGCATTAGAATAGCCTGGTGCTAGGTTGTATTCAATTAATTGCAGCTAATTATTAACATCTCGCCCTTGGCTCAGCCCCATCAAACCCCATGATTTCGTGATCGTTCATAGTAAACAAGCTATGAAACATGTACATGAAGCAGTTAGGTTAAGGGAAATACTTCATGGATGGGGAAATGAAGCAGAGCTCATCCTCTGTAGTGTTCAGCAGTTCATAAGCAATCGTTGGATCCCTGTAGGGTTGGGATGAAGGCTGGTTTATGAACAAGCCACTGGACTGAAGCTTGAGGTCTTGGGGGGGGTGGGGGGGATGCTATTTCTTTCTTACTGCACACTGCTGGGATAAATGTTATTAACACATTGTTTGATGCTACTATGATAAGGTCCAGCCAAGTGCTTTGGTAGACCATTTTAAAGATTTGCTGTTACCGTCTCTCATTGCTTTTCATATCAGGACTTTTCAGTGGCATTTTAAATAGCTTATTGGATTCTTCCTAGACCCTTGTCATCTGCCTGAACTCAACAGCTGTCTCATTGCCTATTCTCACCCCCTGATGTCTTCTGCAAACTTTACCGGGAGCTGTGGAAGCAGCAATGGTACAACTACGGGGATTTTTGCGCTAACATTACACCTAGTAGTGGAGCCTTTGGCCTGAAGATGTACAAATTTGAATAAAGATGCAGGAGGTAGCTGATGCATAAAAGATAAGTTGCTCTTAACCCTTCTTAGTTGGGGATGGGCTAGTATAGGATTAGTTTTATCCAACCTATCAATAGCTAGTGCCCACTCACCAGCAAGAGTCCTGTTAAGGGAGAGATTTTTAGTGAACCCAGATTGCTTCGGTTTCCACTGCAGTCTTTCCAAAGTGAGGTGTTGTGAAGTTTGAGTTGTTTGGGAGTTTGAATGGAAAGTCTCAGGTATGAATCTCAGGTTTCAGGTGTTGGGTCTTGACCTCTGACTGCAGTTGGAGATTTTTCTTTCCTTTTACTATGAGCGCTGCCTTGGGCAGAGACCGTCTTGTCTGCTCTTCCTTCTGCCCAATGCTTTAGAAGAACAGGGAGAGGCACATGCTATGAATACTTCAGACGGGGAAGGCAGTTTAGCATTCAGGACTGTGAAAGGAAGTTTGCTTCTGACCATGTATAATTATGGTTATAACCTCTGTCATTAACTTTTTTTAAATTGGAGGCTTAAAAGGATTTAAAATAAGTCTGTGGTGGAAATTGGAGATGAATGAGATGGTAACAAAAAAAAAAAAAAGAGCCCCCTCCTATAAGCTGACTGCTTTGCATACGCTGAAAAATCCTGCCGGGGCCTGGGGAATAGATGTGCTATCAAATCCCCAACATCAGTGAGAGGGGAATTTGTGTCGTGAGTTGTGTAGAAGTTTTCACTCAAGTCAGAATAAATGTGCTGAGGGGTAGGGGTGAGAGAGAGGCTCCTGGAAGGATAAAATTAGTCCTAATCTTTTACCTCCCCCACCTTCAAAGCTCTAGCTAACTAATGAAAATGCTCTGATGAGGTCATGCTTGCATCTTGTGCGCTAGTGCTTGCACTGCATTGTCACTCCGCAGTTTACCACAGTTGGGCTGAGCGATGGAAAACGGGAAAATGGCCCTGCCTACATAGCTGATTGAGTGTATTGCTAGATCTTGGCAAGCCATTGCCAGGGACCTTAAATATAGCCCCACGTACAATAATATTTTTATGCTTGCCGCTGAGGTCATCAAGAGATGGGCCAAGGCGGTTATGGTCAGACGCTCAGCCTAGCCGTCAAGTTGCGAGCAGTAATTTGTACCATGTCGGTTCGATGGTCAGCTGAGGAATACGAATGATGCCGAGCAGCTAATGGGTTGCTACCTAACCACCTCGACACAACCTTGACCAAAAACATCCTCTTGGAAATGTGCAGGGAACGGGCACAGGGTATCGCTTCTGTTCCTCGATGGGTTGATTCCTTGGGCACCCCCAACGTGTGAACGATTGCCCTACGCAGAGCGGTGGCTTGAAGAAACTCTCACGTAATCTTGAATAAACTGGAGAGTGTTTGCACGAAACATTTGCAGATAGTAGAAAGGCAGCACTAGCTTGTTGCATCCTCATGCAGTCAGCTCTAATTAGCAACATGGGAGAGAGCCAAGCAAATGAAGCAGTGCCTGGCTTTCATCCCTATTGCTCTTATGGCCCTGCTTCAGCCTGGAAGGAGACCTCTCTGAGAACACAATTATAAAACCCCTGCAGCTCACACAAATGGGCACAATGCAAAAGTTAATCGTTACTACAAAAACAGAAGCGTTGGATTACTCCAGGTGCGCTGTAAAGTGTAGCTGAGCAATTCTAAGTGTTTTGCAACATTCAAACGCGAGAGGAGAGCTGTGCTTTCTCACGTGGGCTAAAATGAAACACAGGAGCAAAACCATTTCTGCAGTGAATGTTATCTGCTGTATTATCTGTCAGTTTTATTCATATCCTTCTGGGTCTCTGCTTGCTCAACTGGCTGTGATTTGGGCCTGGGGTTAATTTTGGGCTGGACCCAAGACTGGCGCCTGTCTGTTGTGAATATGCCACACTTGGCTTTCTGATGTTTAGTGTGCCAGCTAGCTGACAGTTTGTGCATTGGAGGAGAAAAGTGGAAGGAATAAGTCAAGCGGATCATCTGGATCAGCTACCAATAGCATCTTATCCAGGAAGAAAAAAATATGTACCAGTCACTTCTGTTGTGTGTGCGTGTGGTACACAGGGGGAGCCTGGAATAGATGCACATTGGAAGTAGTAAAAAAAAAACCAACCACAGCAATAGCTTCTTACATTGTCTGAGCTTAATTTTATATTTGCCTTAGAGCTTGCAAAGGAAGTATTGTGCTCCTGAAGGTAAGACTGCCTTGTTGTGAGCACATGCTTGGCATCTGGTTTCAAAGGCGTTTCTGCTGCTGGTGCAGTCTTATCAAGACCTACTTTATAATGGAGCAGTGTGGCGCTTGCTTCTACAAAACTGGTTGGTAAACTAATGCATCTTCTCAGAGAGCAGGTTTCCATGCCTTTAACTTAATGTTGCATGCAAATTTGATTACTGTCTCCAGTCGATTATAATTATGTAACGAGCTCTCTTTTCTTTGCTGCAGTTTCTCTGTTTGAAGAACATACGGACGTTCCTAAAAGTCTGCCACGACAAATTTGGGTTAAGGAACAGTGAGCTGTTTGATCCCTTCGACCTCTTTGACGTGCGGGATTTTGGGAAGGTAAGAGTCCACCTTCATCCCTTGGCACGTGTTTTGGTGCTGGTGGGACCATGTGGTTTTTCCAATACATGTGGTGGTACTGGGCAGGATGTGAGACAAACTTGGGTTTCTGCAGTGTTGTGTCATTTACACCATGTCAGTGTGACACTCTTCTTTCCTAATGGCATGGCCATGTGGAGAGGTGGCTGAGCTGGTGACATCCCTGGTTAAGGAGGCTTAATCTGCTGTTGCAGCTCATGCTGCTTTGGGGATCAGGCAGTCCCCTTGTTCCATCCTTGGTTTGGTCCCTCTTGCTTGACTCCCTTCCCCAGAGGCCTGGTATAACACGTCACAGCAGGCAGGTGTGTGCCTCATCAACTTGCAGTCGAGCCCAAATATCAAATTCTCCAGAGGCTCTTGGGTTCATTGCAGGTTCTTCTTTCTTGTTCATGTACAGCAAGAAACGAATGAGTCTCCCAGGCATGAGATAAGAATCCCTTTTATTCTGAACCAGTTATTGTAAGTGTTGTATTCCTACGATTATTTATTCTGGGGAGACATCATGGTCCAATGGACTGAGCACTGACGGGGGAGCAAGAAACCTGGATTCTCTTCCATGCTCCAGCCCTGACTTGTGTGACCACGAGCAAGTTGCTTCACCTCATTTTTATTGTTTCCCCCTTCCCTAAGCAGCCTTGCTTTATCTGCTTAAATTCTTTTGGTGCAATGGCCCCTGAGTTAGCCTTGCTTTGCTGTGAAACCCCCTTGGGTTTTGTCCTCCAAGTTTTTTTTTTGTCTGTCTGTCTGTCGATATAGATAGATAAACAGATGGATCTAGGCCCTGTTCTTGCTGTTTCAGAACAGAGAAAAAAGCACTTACTTAATTTAAGAGAAGTCCTGAATTCTGGGTGAGGCCCCAGCTAGAGGGATGGGGGAGTCTTAATGGGGCTGTTAGGAGAAGATCAGTTTGAAATCCGTGTGTTTGAAATCGATGGTTTTTGTTCTGCAGCATTGCTGTGAGGAATATTGGGCTAAGGGAAGCCTCCCTGTAAGAGACCATTTCTGTTCTGCAGGTGATGTAGCTTTAAAAGCGATGAGCCACTTATTAAGAGCTATGAATTACTTTACCTCTCCTGAACTACCAGGCATGTGCTGTGCAAAAGCATCTACTCTTCTGATTATCTGAACAGCCAATTTCCCCCAGCTGATGGGGAAATAAATTTATTGCCTAATTCAGTTTTGGACTATTATTTGGAACTTGCAGTTGAAGGGGTTTATTTTATGAGTTTGTGATTTATGGAGCGCAAGTGGGCTTCTGTTGCTCCAAAACGGTAGGTAGACAGACGCTGGAGCCTTTGTTAATTAAAATGCTGCTTTTCTTTCATGTTTCGTGTTGCAGTTCACGGTCGCAAACTGTCCAGTCAAGCTGTTAATTGAGGCTGGAGTTTAACGTGTTGGGAACTACTCAGCTGAACACGTTCCCTTTCTTTTTCCATTCTACTTCAAAAACTAGCTGTGAGCAGGATCCACATCCTAGTTTTGCCCCTGTTGAAAGCAGCTCAGAAGTTTAATAACCCCGGGAAGCTGGACAACAGACCAAAATGAGTTTCTATATTGAACTGCAATTGTGTAACTACGGCAAGAGCAAAGGAGTCTTTAATTTAGGTTCCCACTGGCCAAACAGACTTCACATACAAAAAATTCTTCCTGGAGCCCATTCATTACTTAGATCAATAACACTTTTCAGTTTCAGGGCACTTACAGCATGTAAGAGCCTTTCATATGCAGCACATGGTAATGGTTGACCATTTAATTATATGGTGAGCCCAGTGTAGTGGTGCAGGGTGTTTCCATTTTCAGATACCACTTAAATAGTTATTTCTGTCCTCCAAACCTGAAGCCTGGGCTAGATAGCAATTACTAATAACTCTGGGAACTAGCTAAAATGTAATTATCAAGTAAAAAGGCTGGGGCGTGTACTTCTTCCATGTCTATGCGGAGCGGACCTTATAAGCTGCTTCTAAGTAAAGGGGAATTACCATTTGCAACAGGAGGGATGTTTCAGGTTGATATTTGGGTGCTTCATAATAAGAAAAAGTCTCCCAAAAGGCCAAATCCCGCACTGTCCCCCTGGCCAGCCTCCTTGGTATAAGTTGTCATAGGCTGCAGTGGCACAGCACAGATTTACAGTAGCTGGGCATTAGGACACTTCTGTGCCCACGTTCCTCTGGGTTTCCACCATAAGTAAAGCCTTGGGGTCGGGAGCTTGGGCAGTGTCAGACCACAGGTCCATCTTGCCCAGCCTTCTGTCACCCAGCAGCAGAGAGCGGATGCTAAAGAGGAGAGAGAACTGGGTCTGGTTTATTTCTTTTGCAAACATCTAGTTGGTCTAATAAAAGATATCACCCCTACCACGAGTCCTGATTCCTTTCGCCTCTGAACCAATATGGCTACAACCTGGATACCTGGGTCAGACGAGGTGTTGTTTTCCACTGTTCCTCTCACTTGCGGCTTCCAGCATTGAAGTTCCCATTCAGAGGCTGTGCCCCTAACTCCCATGCTCAATACCTGCCAATACCCCTTTCCTCCAAGAGTTTGTCCAGTCCCGTTTTTGAATCTGCTTCCACAACTACTTGTGGCAACGAGCTGCATGTTTTAATTGCACGCTGCCTGAAAAAACCCCAAACCTGTCTTTCACTGGTTTTAAACTTATTACCTACTGCTTTCATTTTGTGACCACTAGTTCTTGTATTAATGACCAGCTTGATGCCACCCAGGGTTACGTGGGATTCTCTGGCTGTCTTCTCCGGGCAGAAGGATCTCCCTCTTTCCTTGGATCAAGTTCCAGACTTTGGAGGTTTGATGATAACGTATTGCTGACTAAAGCCCTTGGCCAAGAAGAAAACAAGTTGTTTCTATGGAGGCTGTGGGCTTTGTCTGGCCGTTGCACAGACCAGGCGTCCATTCCAGCCAGACTCCGGTTGCGGGAGGCACCACGTGGGTTGGTAGTTAGAAGTAAAACGCTGATAGCAAAGGGGACATAGATGCTTTTTTCTGTCCCTGCAACTCCTTGGATTCGTGACCCAGGGCAAGTCATTGCTCCACAGAATGAGGAGAGCATTGCTAGCCTGTCTCATAGGCAGCTAAAGTGGGATTGACTGGTCTTCACTGGGAAAAGTTGCTCTCTGTCACGCAAAGCTCAGTGATTATTTCATATCTGGATGGTGTGTAGCAAGGGTGTACAGAATTTAAGCCAATTGGGGCATCTTTTTCTCGTGTTTCTTGCCATTTTTGTTGTTGTGGTTCCTAATGGCCAAAGGGAAATAGAAGGATACTTTAAATGAGGGAGACCTGACTGCGAGCTCTTTTTTCTCTTGCTTGCTTCTTGGGCAATAATATTGTGGCAGCAACCCAGTCAGGGTCACAGCTGACTTTTTTCCCAAAGGAGACTCATGATTTTTGGTTAGCTCTGTTTCGGGGGGCTGGTTTAAGAGGCCTTCAGAGGGGCCTGCTTATTCAGAAGGCAGGCTTCAGCAATTCTTGAAAACCATCTTCTTTAAAGTGTCTCCATTTGGGCATCTCAGAGCACTGAGGATGTTTGGACATGTCGTCCTCTGGGCTTGTGAATTTGGGACAGGAATAAGAGCAACATTGGGTATGTGAAAGGAAACGGTTATCCTCAGTCACCGTCTGATACTGTAGTGCACCAGAGCTTTCACTCCTTTTGTTGGCATTGGGAATTAGGAGCATGCACGCATGCCTCTGTGGAAACCGCCGTCTAAGAGGAAAGGAAGTCGGAACTGCATTGTATGGTTGCTCAGTACATTTGGGTGTCCAGAATAGTGGCAATAATGTTAAGTTTAGCTCTTATTAGGCTTTCTAAGTTCTCAGCACCAAATGTAATGGGATAAGATGTCCACAAATGTGGATTCAGCTCTCCAGCAGACAAGGTTCTGGGTAGATATCAGATTTGATCTGGGTAGATATCAGATTCACCCCAAGAGCCTTGTCTGCCTATGTCCTCAGACCAACACGGCTACAACCTGCACCCCTGATTCAACTCTTCATCACTCCATTAGTTAGTGTGGTGGCAATGAGTTTCATAAAAGGGAGCTATTCATTTTCAGTAACTCACAGTAATCTAGCGAGGGTATTTTTGGGAAAATACCATTCAAGCTAGTCACCAACTTGCAGAGCATATCACTTCTCTCTCTACTACTTTGTCTGTGTGTGACTGCTCTGACTTTCCTTTGAACTTGAAACTTTTCAAACAGGCTTTTTACAGATCTGGAGTTTTTCACAGCCTCAACTGTGGGCACATAGCGGACAGTACAAATGATGGGCTACCGGAGATATTGAAATGTGAAACCCAGTTATAAGTCAATTGAGAAATGAAGGGGAATTGAGGGTTTTTTAAATGTTAAGTTCAACCAGTAGCTTTTGTCTAGAAATGAATGGAAATTCCAGCTGTCCTTGAAAGAAGACATTTCATTCTTATGGCTGGGATTCTGACTGGACAATTTGCATTGGGTATGTTAACCCTTCCACATTTTGGGGGGTAGTTTTGGGTCTGAAGCTTTGGTTCAGCCACATCTCAAAGAATGTAATGGGTCGGTCTTTGCTGCTCTGGTGCATGGAGCTGCATGTCAAATCTAAGCTTCATGTCTTGCATGTCTCGTGTCTGGGGATGGAGAAGTATGTGGTGGGGCAGTGGTGCCTGAGCCTGTCATGCTTGAACAGTTGCAATGCTATTGGTTTGTAAGAGGGGAAGCTTAGAGTAGGGTTTCCTCTGAAACTGAGACCTGTTGGACTGAGAGCAGTCAGTATATAGCGAAGGTAGTTGGTGCAGATCGTTGGTACCAATAATAGAGAGCTGGTACAGCATAGGACTCATCGTGTAGCAATATTTTCAGGGTGTTTTTAATCATTCTGAATGTTTTCTCATGTTGGGAGGTTTCTCCCCCCGTAAGTCGAGGCATAGAGTGCCATTGAAATGTTTTACAAATTTTTCACATCATACC